ATTGAGCCATATAAATCATATTACATATCATACATTTATATTTATGGTAAACAGTTGTCTTTTTTACAAATGATGTTTCATGTTACAAAGTCAGTAATAAAAGTATATCAAATGTTGTAAATGTTATAAAAGTATATCAAACATTGCAAAGCCCAATATGTATAAAGAAGCATAACCAAGGTGATCGTTGTCTTAAATAATCAGTCTGTAACTCCACTAATTTAATGATTAATACTAAGTAATTTGCTACTAGAGATAGATATTAGGTGCCATCTCTTAACTAAATTAATAATTATAATTTTAATAATTTATTAAATAATTTAGAATCATCTGGAAGAAAATTACAATCTGCCAGATTGTAATTTTAATAAATTATTAAAATTATAATTATTAATTTAGTTAAAGAGATGGCATCTAACATCTATCTCTAGTAGCAAATTACTTAGTATTAATCATTAAATTAGTGGAGTTACAGACTGATTATTTAAGACAACGATCACCTTGGTTATGCTTCTTTATACATATTGGGCTTTGCAATGTTTGATATACTTTTATAACATTTACAACATTTGATATACTTTTATTACTGACTTTGTAACATGAAACATCATTTGTAAAAAAGACAACTGTTTACCATAAATATAAATGTATGATATGTAATATGATTTATATGGCTCAATTATTTGGTTTATTTGCATACAGAGTGAAGCATCAAAAATTTGGACTCAACCACTGAAAAATGAGTATTAACCTTTTCAATGGTAACTTCATTGTTACAAATGTAAACATTGAATAATCCAATTCTTAATTAATAACAATAAATCTGCCAGATTGTATCAGGCTATATTATGGCTATATTTATTATTAAATGTAAACATAATACAGCCTGATATAATCTGGCAAATTATTTTGGGATTAACTTTATTTCTGATGTTCTAATATTCATTCAGAATATGAACATCTGAAAGCCTGAAAGTTATATTAAAACCAAGTGATTACTGGATTAAATCAGGCTACATTACCACTACAAATAATTATTAAATACTAAATAATTTGGCACTAGAGGTAAGCATTAGGTGCCATCTCTTATTAAATTTAATAATTATAATTATATTAAACTTTATTAAATAATTTAAAAAATTCTGGGTGAAATGGACCAGCCCGGAGTGGGACTTGAACCCACAACTGCTGCTTACTGTGCGGATGAATTACAAGTTACTATGTTAGCCATGAATAACTAGTATAATTATATCTGTGAGGACCCAAACGGGGTCCGAAAGGACACCATTAACGACTTTTTAAATAAGTCAAGTTTCGTAGTGCAAAAGAGCGAACTTAAAGATTGGATTTAAACAATGAACCTTTTGTCTTGTTAAAAGATTTTAAACAATAAATAGAGTAAATTCGAGGAAAATGAGGTTGGAGAGGAGTTGTGTTCTGACGTAACGTTGACCTCTCCCACGCCCTTCATTGGGTTTCGAATTGTCACCATATGACGAGGAGAGACCAATGGAGAGACGACTGTGGTGGAAAAATCGATAAAACCGCGTTTTCAGGAACTTTACGAGGTCTTGAGTTTTGGTGCGTAGTGCTCCCCTGCTGGGATTTGGTGCTCACGACAGAGATACAACATAGGCTCTTTCAACGCCCGAGGAGCTGGTTTTGCCAACCCGTCTCATCCAGAATCGCCGAGATCATGTCCAGGATCATCGAGGTTCGACTCGTCCACCAAGGACATCTCTACAAGTGCTGTGTGTGCCCGGGGGCCAGTGTTCTCTGCATCCAGCGTACCGAAAATACCCAAGGACCGATTGAACAGTCGAACTTTTCCGGGTTTTTTTTTGTGGTTATAGTAACCCATCATTGGATAGGCTTTCGCCTGACATATTGAGTTATTGTAAGATCAATTTATGTATTTTATTAAACGGTTTTTTATGGTAAACCTGTCTCGGTGAGTCATTCTGCACCCACACGACAGTAATGACTGCTCAGCTGTCGAAAACACCTCACCCCAACAGGCTAACCTCACATCACAGATAAACCAAAATACTTATTTAGTAGCTGTTTGGATGAACAGTGTGTTCTAGCTGGTTTCCAATTGACAATTTATGTAAATTAAGTCAAAACAAATAAAAATATATAAAGATACATAATGATATGTAACTTTTCTGCTAAAGAATAAATAAGTAATACATTGTGTTGCTTTAGAAATTAATTTCTAACAGAAAACAAATTTTAAAAAATTCATAGTAGCAGACATATCTGTCTATGAGGAACTGGATTGACTCTAGGAGAGATTTTTTTGAAATCTTTTGAGTTGTGTAGAATATATCAATTCCATTCTTCATCAATTGGCCATTTGTTGTGTTATAATAATCATGATATAAACCTTTTCTAACTTTCTACAGTTTAGGAGAATATATATATGTTATGTTAGAAGACTTCAAATAGTTTATTATAAACATGGCTGAAAGTTTGTAAACACTAATTTTTTTATTATAACAATAAAGACCATACAAATAATTCAGGGTCAGATCAAATCCTTTTTTAATTTTCCAACTAGAGACAGATGTTTAACAACATTAAAAACTGTTGACATGATATTAAAAAAACATATAATATACATTTGATGTCAACCTTTCCTTTGAGGATTAGACATCAATGAGACAGTATTAAAATTTTTGAAAGCATCACTCAGGTAAATATCTGTTGTATTTATACACATCTGCAAACCTCTGGTGGAAATCCAGGAATTCATTTGTAATTTGCATATTTACATGAATTGTAAAGTTCCAAGGATTAATCTCTACTTGAAAAATTAAAAAAGGGTTAGACCTGACCCAGCATTATTTGTATGGTCTTTATTTTTAGAATAAGTGAATTAATCCTTGAAACTTTACAATTCATCTAAGAATACTTTAATTTTTCTTTATTTTTTCATTTTTTGAGTAAATGTTAATTATTTTGTTTTTAATTAATCTAAGCAAATGCAAATTGTTTAATAAAATTGAATTATTGATAAAAACATCTCAGAGTAAGAAAAAAAAGTCAGTATTCTCATAAACAAATTTAGGAAAGTTTGAACTTTACATAGTATTCAATACTGTAAAACAATTTAAGCATGACTCATCCCAGCCACCTGCACAAGTAAGATCATTTTCGTGGTTAAATACTGTACTGTATGCAATATAAACATCACTGATATCCATAATCATTGTAAAGGCTGCCCTGATTTTATGACATGGATATGTTCCCAGAGGAGACAGCATAAATGAAATTAGCATAAAATTAATCCATTGTACAGTACAGTAATTGTTTTTTGATAAAAACATGTTAACTATAAGTTACAGTATTACTAAGATATACTGTATAATACAGCATTAAATTTATTTATTTTAATATATAAATACTGTGCAGTACTGTAATACTGTAACTCTAAAATATTTGTTAAGTGTAAATCGTTTAGGTCCAAATGCCCTTGTTGACAGATGTCTCTCCTTTCTTTACAACTAGTAGTCATATGAAGGCAGATTACATGATGGTTTTAAATGAACATATTTTTCATGCTTGGGCCACAATTTTATAAAGGTTTCACAGATTGATACCTAAAATTGAATCTAAATTCAAACTCAACCTAGTTGTAGTTATTGACTTTTAATGATCAATAGTCCTTACAAATTAAAAAAAATTCATTATATAGAAATTTAACTTTGTTATGTAGAACCAATTTTACTTATATTTTTGGCTGAAAGAGTAGTGTACTGTACAATGCAAAAATTTGTTATATGGAGAATATAGAAGTTTGTAATATGGAAGTTTGACTGTATTTAAACTATTGAATAATATTTTGGATTGTTCTAAAATGTCAGTTCAGTAACTCAGATTATTGTTATAATTGAAGTTGCTATTTTATACTTTATTTATTGTTCTGTCATTTATATAGCTTCTTATATCTTGAATTCAATTATAGATTTTAAGTAAAGATGTAACTAATACCAATATGTAAGAAGCGGGGTTAGAGAGTCAAGCTTTAAACCATTTGATTGACAATAGATCAGTGAGATCCAATCACATTGTCAGTGGATGGCTTGTGTTTCACTTTCTTTAAGGTTGGAGGTGGAAAAATCATAAAATTTCCTTCTCCTGTCAGGACTGACACCAGTTAAGAAATAATGCATCTTAACTCACGATTCTCATTCTTACAGCGGTTATTGGAGGGCTTTAGATAGAGTGGGGTAAGTCGATGGGTGACCGGTTCAAACAATTGAAGTCAACACCAGTTTAACTAAACAATAACTTTAATAGAAAAATAAATCATAAGATACAATTATAGTGGTACACTTCCTAAGCATATGTATCCAAGCCGATATCAATGAGGTCAACGTCCTAGTCTATGTGCGAATGCTAACTCAATATCTAGTTCAACCAAGAGAGAGTTTGCATCAATTGGAAACTTATCATTTTTCTTTTCTTTTAGTGCTGTCTGTTGGTCTGACAATAAATTATCCATGGAGTCAACTGGGGAAGTCAACATTTACACAAATCACTACAAAAATATAAGTAATCCTTTGGGACTATTCTTGCCAAGCCAAAAGATAGCTTTTATGGGATGGGAGCTGGCGAGTAGAGCTTTGTCTATGCTCTTCCTAGTGTGTCCGCCTCAATGAATGGGTGTCTGGCCGTTATATCCCCATCCGGTGTGGGAATGTGGTCAGGTAATCGATTGTTTGGCAACGATGACACATCAGAGATGTCATCGCTGGACAATGAAAACTAAATGAAGTCAATAGTAGGTTTCTTATTTCTCCCAATTGTTTTTAGATTCTCCCCATAGACTTGGTTAAATGTCAACTTTCTCACACTTTAACAGTTGATTGTTTTAACATATTTTTAATATTTTTGCAGATCAATGTGAGGGGAAGGACTTGTTGACAGTTAAGTTAACATTCAATATTCTCCATTTTTAACTCCATGGGAAATGGACAGTAAAAGGGAAAGTTTCTAAATCGTATCTTTTTGTTAAAAATTTATAAAGAAAACAGTCTCTGGATTCTCACAAATATATTAGCCTATAAGAATGTTCCTGATATATCAGAATTGATTTGTTTTACAAACTAATACTCTGCATTAGATTTTTTAATCTAATGCAGAGTATTATGCATCTGTGACAATGCAGGTATTTGGACATGGTAATGGACATATCAATATGTCCAAACTCATGATAGGCAGTGTAATCTCCTTTGCAGCTGATTTGCCATTGATGGCCAAGTGACATAAAGTTGTCATTTTTGGAGGCACCAACTTTTTAGGGGATCCTGCATAGAAATGGATGGGCAACATGTAAGCAATGCTGCCAGGCCTAGCAATCCAGATTTGGAAATGTTTCAAGCCAGTGGTGGTTTGGTGATTTTTTTTCCTATACTATTATAAATTTATTCAAGATATGTTCAAATTTTTTCCTAAAAACAGATTGGAGTCAGGCCTAGGCAAACTAGACAGTTATAATCAAATAGGGTCCAGATCTGAAAATCACCCATAAATTAATTTGTAAACTATTACTCTTTTATATTTGAGTTTAACTGGTTAGTGTACAATGTGAATATTCTCTAAACCAATGAGCTTTCAGGCTTTTATCTATTATCAACATGTGTAGAGTATGGCTAGAAATGAGGATTGGGGACACCATCAATAGGGCACCAGATATCTGGGTGACAAATAAGAGATGAATAATAAACAAAAAACAAATTTTTTGTCTATTATTATGAAAAAAAACAAACAAAAACAAATTTTTTTTTTTTTTTTTCATAAAATTCTTTTCTATTGATCTACTACCTGGTAAATTTAAATAATTTTTAAGAAACAACTTAATTGTTTCTTAAAAACTATTATTTAAATTTGAGTTAAAAGAATGATTTTGTAATTAACAAACACATTTTATACATTTCATATTTATTTTTAAAAGTAAATAGAAAAGTCTCAAAGAACAGTTGATATCTATTTTATAAAATTAACAAATATATGTTATAAAACAAAGACAACAATAAATAAAAATAAAAATACATTACATTATACATTAAATACAATATAAATTAAAATGAAAAAAGTATAAACATTTTTCAGAAGAATTTGTTTTTGAAGAACTGCTTTTCTTTGATGTGATTTCTTAACTGTTCTGACAAAATAATTAACAATAGTACAGTATGTTATTCCAAGACATTTCTTTTTCGTAAGTTGGAAATAATTTGTAACTCTTACTTGTTAGTTTGTAACTTATAACTCATAAGTCTTAACCATATTTATATTTATATATATTTTACCAATATTTACAAAAAATGAATAAATAATATCTGCCAAACTAATTTGTTATTTAAAAGATAGATATGCTTTACTATATTCATTTTTTATAATATTGAAATTAATTTTAAAAATATTATTTCAGCAAAGTACAGAAGGTGTCACTCCACTTAATCAAACCAACTCTTTGGAGGAACAAACCCCAGATAGTTC